GATGCGTTGGCGGAGGCGGAGGCGGCGGCGGCTGCGGCGGCGGAGGCGGAGGCGGAGGCGGCGGAGGAGTAGGAGGAGGAGGAGGCGGAGGCGGCGGCGGAGGCGGAGGCGGAGGAGGAAGAGGAGGAAGAGGGGCCGCGGGCGTCTGGGAGGCGGGCGGGACCGCGCCGGGGCCCCGTGGTCCCAGGTCTCCGCGGGGCTATTGGGCCAGGGCTGGGGCCTTTGCCGCGGAGGGGGCCGGGGCCGAGGCTGGGGCCGAAGCCAGGGCCGAGGCGGGGACGTCCGGGAGGCCAGGGCAGGCGGGGCCAAGGAGCTGAGGCCGAAGCTGGGGCTGGGGCCAGGGCTAAGGGAGGGCTGTAGGGCCCCGCAGGGGGCGGCAATCTGACCCGTGACCTCCCCACCTGCCCCCCCCCTCCACCCCGCTCCACCTCCTTCCCCCTTTCCCCCCCCTTCTACCACTGCTCATCATTAACAAGGGGCGCGCGTGCCAAGGATCATACAATCACGGATGCGGGACATTGGGAGATGGCGATGGCGCCAAGCTCTGGCAGTTTCGAAGAAGCCCGCGAGTTTTGCGACAGGCCGGCGAGTGACCATGACGAGGGACGGCGAATTGCAGCACGGCTGTGTGAATGCAGCCCACGGTTTCGATCTTAAGACGATCCCAATAATATGACGGCAGAGGTTTGCGAGGTTTCAATGGCGTGTTTTGGAGTGCCGACCCCGGTATTGAGCGAAGCGCTTGGTTATTGCTCGCTTTTCGTAGCGTTTGTTGCTTGGCGTCTTTGGGGCTTCTTCGGGGTCCTTTCGGGGCCATGTTAACCATTCTCGGTTCCCTTTGGGTCGTTTGGGGCTCTTCCGGGCTGTCTTCGGGCGTCTTGAAAGGCTTCGGCCGTCCTGGGGCTCTTTGGGGGTGCCTCTCGGAGCCGTCTTGGCGGTCGTCGTCGTCGCTATCGCCGTCGCGACGGAGACCATTTCCCTCGTTGCTGGGCGGGCTAGATCATGTTGGGGGGATGTTTCTCCCATGGAATCGTCCATGCTGGGCAGCCCTACGCGCGAGAGGACTTGTGAGCATCTTCTCATGAGGCATGCAATAGGAATCAGTGGTTATGTTTGCCGTCGTTCTTGCAGTCGTGATTGTAGTTGCGATTGTATCCGTAACCGTTGTTGCTTTTGTAGTCGTAATCGTAGTCGTAATCCCGGTCGTAGTCATTAGCGTCGTCGTCGTCGCGGCGTGGATGATTTTCTCTTAGCTGTTTTGCGGGATGGAACATGTTGGGGGGGTCGTTCTCCCAGGGAACATGTCCCCTGGGCTGCGCTGCGCGACAGAGGAATCTTGAGCGCGTTTGCAAGAGGATTGCAATACAGATCGACACATTCTTCGCCGAAGGCGTTGTTCACAATCTTTGCGAGGATTGAACGTCTGCAGATGGAGATTTTTTGGGCCTTCGTGGTGCCTGAACTTCAACTGTCGTTCTGAGGATGGATCGTCTGAGGATAGAGTTTTCTTTGGATCAAGTTTATGACTGAAGACCTTCCGTGAGTGCGCTCTTGATGCGTAAGAGCGAGTAGTCGTCATAGTCGTCGTTCTAATCGTAGTCGTAGCTCTCAGCTTCGTTGTTGCGCGGCGGGTCCCGCGGGTACAACATAGTTTTCCTAATGGTGGGGCGCCAGTCGGTGAATAAGGCTGCCGAAGACCAGAAAAGACCGTTAAAGGCTGCCGCCGTCGGCTTCCGCGCGGCGCTTTGCAGGCTCGGCCATGCTGGACCATCTCACGACGCGGTCGTACGCAAGATGAATATGTAGGATTGCAGATTCGTGGCCGATGAGCTTCTTTCGAGTCGCGCAGGATCTACACGATGCCAGCGACGCTGGTGAGGTCCCTGGCCAACGTGAGTGAGAGTGACGAGCTGCTCGACAGAGTTGCCGCGCGGAAAAGGGCCGTTAGCCAGAGACTCCCGAGCGTGCTTGGCGAGAGGCTTGGAGGCCCGCCTTGTCGAACGGGCCACAAGCGCAGACTTCGGACCGCTGGTGAATAGATGGCCGGCCTAAGCGAGGCCGGCGATCTGTGTGGCAGTCAGCCACCCGTTGCTCGGGCGCCAGCAAAAGATGAATCCATCGTAGGAGGAGGCGGGCTTCATTTGCGTGCGAGACACACGCCTCTGCTCAGCGTCGCCTGGCGAGGGGGTCATGGCGCTATCGGCTCCGAGTCTGTCAGCTTCTCGGGCATCGGGCGACAGTCGCGGCGACGACGACGACGAACGACGACGTCGTGTGGCGCAGGGGTTTCCTTGGCTCAAGCATTCTGACCTCTTGCTGCTGCTCCTCCTGCTCCCCGTGCGTATTGCTGACGCCGTTCCGCGCGCCCCAGGGCCGCGAAGCGTTCACGGGCTCTGTGGTGCATGCGGATGATGCCGCAGCAGCTGCGGCGGTCCCAAACATTATGGTGTTCGCAGGCATGGAAGTGCACAGAGGCAGCGCGGTGTACATAGGCAGTGTCGGCCAAAAACCGCGGGACCGCGCCCCAGGCCACAAAAGTCAATATTTACTAATAGCTGACATATTGACTTGATACGTTCGGGCCCCCAGCGGTGGCGTGCGCTCTAATGCACGCAGCCCTTGTGAGTACTGTGCACGCGGCGCTCTGCGGGCGCTGCCTGCGGGCTACACAGGCGCTGCGGTGCACGCGCGCGGCTACAGCGGTGCATGCGGCAACGGCTCTGTGATGCACGCGGCTGTTGTGGCGTGCGCGTGCCATGTTGAGTACACAGGCGTTGTTGTGCACGCGGGCCCTGCGACGCAGGCGCTCAGTCGCTCCATTCTGGTGCACGCAGGAGCTGTGGAGCACGCGGGCACTGCGGTGTACCCCAGCGCTGAGTTACAGGCGCTGTGGTGCACACAGGCACTGAGGTGTACACAAGCACTGTGGTGTACACGGCTGCTCCGGTGTACGCAGGCGCTGCGGTCTACATAGGCTCTGTGGTGCACACGGGTAATGCGGTGTGCACTGGCGCTGTGTTGCACACGGCTGCTCTGGTGTACACGCAGGCGCTGTGATGCACGCAGGCAGTGCGGTGTGCACCGGCGTTGTGTTGCACACGGCTGCTGTGGTGTACGCAGGCGTTGCGGTGTGCACAGGCGCCGTGCACAGGCGTTGCGGTGCACGCGTGCCCCCCCTCCGCCTTCCGCCCCGCCCCCACCCCAATCGTTAGCATTACCTCCACTGGCCCCCCCCCCGTCACTAATGTTACGGGCCCAGAATAAAAATAAAGTTTTTCCAGTTTGATCTTGCAACTACAAGAAACCTGGCCATTCAGGCGAGACCCCCGTTCTAAAAATGAGTTGCCTTGTATCTTGCTGGCGGAGTTTAAAGATTGCGCGCCTGTATGATCATACAGTTCAGCGAGGTGACCAGTGTCATTCCCATTTTGAAACAGAACCGCCCCGTCCGTGTTAGTGGTGCGCAAGTATACAGTCTTGGTCATGCGCGTCGAGGAAATCTCAAACGCCAGCTTCACTTAATCAAGTGAGACGTCCTCAATCCCTGCGGCTGCTGCACGCGTTTAAGACGAATGTGCGCGGCACTAGCAATAGCTCCATGTTGAAAACAACCCGCCGTGCATCTTTGTAACTTCTGCAAATTTGTAAGACGAGTGTGCCCGTCGCTAGGGTGTCAACGCCATTTTGGTTGAAACAAAATATGCACTCCGTCCTTCTATCTGCTGCAAGTTCTCAAGACGGATGTGCGTGGCGCCTAAGCGAGATATTGGCATCAAGCACTTCTATCCGAGTAGCTCTTGCAAACTTTCAAGACGAATGCGCGCGGCGCTCAGGCGAGAGCTCCATTTTGAAAACGACCCCGTCCTATCATGTGACAGTTGCACACTTTTAAAACGAATGCGCGCGTCGCTAAGGTGAGAACCCTGTTTTGATGACGACCCGTCCTCCGTCTTCGCATGTATCGTAAATACTTCGCGTCTGGACAATACATTGTGAGGAACCCTGAGGCGAGACGCCTGGCCCGCCCTACTGACACGTCCAGTGGTCCGACGAGAGGTGTTACCCAGAAGGCAATGGGGTGGAGGGTGGGGAGGAGGGGGAGAGGGAGGGAGAACAAAACGAGGATTCTCAGCAGCAGGTGGAGGAGGATTTTGAGGAGGAAGAGAACGAGGATCGATCCTGGGACCGATCATCCGTCAGGGATGTGTGTGCGTCATACAGCACCGCCGAGGTAGTCACATCGGGCACAAAAACGGCAAGTCGCCCAGTGACTCGCTGCCCCGCCGACAGTCCCCTGCAGCCATGGTAAACCTGACCCTCCGGGGGCTGCGCTGGCATGATTCACCTGCTTACGGTTTCAAGTCGCACGCTCCAAAGCCCAGCGGGAGCTTCAGTGTCCGCGCGCGCGTGTACGCGTGCGGCCGCAGGCGCGCTCCCCGTCCACGTCCACGCCGGCGACCCGCTCGGTTGCGCCGACGTCGCGGGGGACGCGAGCGGCGCGGGGCTGCTGGTCTCCGCGGCGGGGGGGGGGTCGGGCGAGGGCCCGCGCGGCGCGGGTCGTGGGCAGGGAGTCGCAGCCGCGTCCACGGCCTCGCCCCTGGGCTCCTGGTCTCCATTTGGCCGCGGCCGTACAGGACACGGGGCGGACTCTGCGAGGGTGCTTGGCGCGGCACGTGTCCACGGAGTCGCGTTTCCATGTGACCAAGCCTCGGTGCCCAGAACGCGGTGCCATGGACTTGGACATGTTCGTCGCTCGTAAGCGGGGGACCCCGTGGCGGCTGCAGCGGGGGCGGATAGCCCAGAAGCGAAGCTCTGTGTACGTCGGAGGTTTGGGGGGGGAGAACAAAGTGACCCCAACCAGGGAGTTGGTTTCGGTTTCGGTTCCCGTCGTGCGTGCGGGCGAGGCGAGGCTGCTCGATGGCGATGACGTGTCAGTCGGCCGCTCACTAGGGTCAAATCGGATGATGTTGGCAAGCGTGGGCCCTGAACAGTTTTCTTGCACTGTCGATGTGCAAATTGCGTGGTGAAATCTGGGTATCGAAAAACCATACAGCGAATCACCGCCGCCCCCTGCCTTGAATCGCCCATGTGGCCGAGTGTTGCGGCAAGAGCTCTGCCAGGCAATCAGACCATGGTTTCCCCCAGCCGTTATGGAAACCCTTCGGGGAACACTTCGGTGAGGATGGCGGGGAATATCAGGAGGATGAGGAGGATGAGGAGGAGGCGGAGGAGGATGAAGAGGAGGAGGAGGAGGAGGAGGAGGAGGAGGAGGAGGAGGAGGAGACGGAGGAGGAAGAGGAGGAGGAGGAGGAGGAGGAGGAAGAGGAGGAAGAGGAGGAGGAGGAAGGGACATCTTCGGAGCCTTTTGGGGTCTTGGGGCCTCCTGGGAGTTTCCTGGGAATCTCTTGGAGGCATCTTGGGGGCGTCATTGGCTTCTTGGGGGCCTCTGGGGGCTCCGCGGGGCATTTGTTACACGTCTTAGGGCGTTCTTGCCTTGTCTGACGCTATCGGAAACCGTTTTGGTGGCCTCTCCGGGCTGATTTGGGGCCGTCTTGGGGTGCTCCAGGGCCGTCTTGGAGGCCATCTTGGGCGTCTTGGAGGCCTCTTGGTCCGTCTTAGAGCCCCCTTGGGGGCCTCTTGGGCCGTTCTGGGGCCATCTCGGGGGCCTGTTGCGCGATCTTGGGGCGATCATTGGGGGCGCTTGGGCCGTATCGGGCCGTCGGAAAGCAAATCATATACACATGCCAACAACTTCGACAACCTACGGAACAACAGTGATTTTGACCTCTCTTGGGGGCCTCCTTGGGCTTCTTGGTGGCCTATGGGGGCCTCTCGGGATCCTCTTTGGCTTTAAAGGGAGCTCTCGCCGTGCGTATCTTAGCCGCATGAGCGAGCAGAGGAAATGCAGGAGCGATCGCATCCGCAGCCGTTTTGGCTCAATGGGGTCGACACCAGGATATGACTAGTCAGTCTTGACACGTCACATTGGCTACTACCGAGTAGAGGAACACTTATTTTAATTGTTACATCGCCTCATAGCTTATCGTTCTCATACGTTTCCCCCTCCATACTCTTGGCAGCGGAGCTGATTACACACTTGAGTGGGTTGTATCATTGTCTACAAGTCTCCACGGCACTATATGGATGACAGATTTAGATTGCCATGCGCCGGCATCCCTTGGGGGAGCCGCGTCAAGAAGTTGGCGTGTACAGCCTGGTAACGGGTTGGTGCTCACCAGCGAACTGGACCCCGGCAGTGGATCTACTAGTACCGGCGCGCTGAGTTTACCATTGGCCGCATAGTGGCTTCGATTGTAGGCATGTACAACACGGCTCTACATCACCACGTTCCGCGCAGCGCGTGCAGCCAGTTCGGCAACAGGTTCAGTTACGCCGACTTACCATTTGATCACTGCGCGGAGCATGGATGTATGCAGCCCAGACCCCTTTGACGTCTGGCATGCGACCAGCACCCACACAAAGCAGAACAAGCGAACGAACTTTATACTTTCGGTGTCTACCTTAATACTTTCTTAGTTGGCATCCTACGTGTTAGATCGGGGCTTACAGTAGGCTCCATGCAGCGTGGTGCAGCCGATACCGCGCCCATTTTACAGGACCTCACTGGGACCCTGCGGGCAGCGTGCCCTTCGTCCAGGAGGCCCACGCGTGGCTCAACGCCACTAGCGCCCGCTCTAGACCACAACAGCAAGCGGCCGCCATCCAACGAGGCCTCTCACGACGGTCATGATTCATAACAATGCGCATTCCATCACGCACCATCAATTACGGTGTAGATATTTGCGGTTCTGAAGTCGATCCTGGAACACATAATTATCATGTACACTTGAGTGGCGAGCGCGGGCATCTCGACTCAACTCGGCTCGCGCGCGCGGCTCGTCAACTTCAGTGTGCCTGCGTTGGAAAAGGAGCGACGCGACATTGGCTAGCTTTGTGATGGCATGGCTTGATGCCCAATCTGGTGGACTCGGTATCCCCAACTTCCAGATCCTAGCCACGATTTTTGCGTCGCGCTCTTGAGATATGGACAGCGCGGGCACCTAGGGCGCTACAACCGCTGAACCGCCAGAAGCCGAGGACTCAGGGATAACTTGATCCACTACTTGAACGAATCGATCATTCGGCTGCGTTGCCGAGCGATCTCCAGGGGACATCGGCGGGGCGCTTGGACGGGGGCGCGGCGGCGCGCTGCGCTGCGCCTGCTTCCCAAATGGCCGCGCGCTCCTCAGCGGCGGCCCTGTGATTATTATTGTGCAAATCACACTATATGTATGTGTGTGTATATATATGTATATGTATATATATATATATATATATATATATATGCGTGTGTGTGTGTGTGTGTGTGTGTGTGTGTGTGTGTGTGTGTGTGTGTTCCACATCGCATGACCGCGCAGCCCCGCTGGGGGCGCGGCATTTCTCGCGGGCCTGGCGGGCGGCGGCCGGGCAGCCCGCGGCGCAGACAGGCTTGGGCACCGCCTACTAGGCCAGCGTTGCCTACCGCGACCCTCTCGGGCCAAGGCGGCCAGGCCGAGCCTGCCGCGCGCTTCGATTCTGGCGCGGGTGATGGCGCGGAATCATCGGGGGACATGGGGCCAGTAGATCAATCGGAAATACTTACGCATCTTACTGGCGACCAGGAGGCTGGACCCCTGCATGTCGCCGCGCGTCCTGCCGGGGGAAGGCGGGCGGGTGGGCGGGGCGGGGCGGGGCGGGGCGGGGGGGGCGAAGGGGCCGGCGCGGAGGGTGCGTGGATATATCAGGCGCGCGCCGCGCGCCGATGGGCAGGGCGAGGGCGCGGGCGGACATCGCGGGGGGGCCGCGCGGCAGGGTCATCGTTCAAGCCGCGGGATTCCCACCCAACGACGACTACGACGCAATGTCCTCTGATGGCAGGGGCAGAGGTCGCCGCGCCAGAGGGAATGGCAGAGAAGTCGACCCCATGGGCAAGAGTGCCCCAGGGCGGCGCAGCGAGGGGAAAGGGAAGGGAGATTGGGACTCCGCCGCGCATTTGGATTCAACCTCTTCGGGGCGCGGTGACAGAGACCAGCCCTTCGCAGAGGGCGCGCCGGCCCATCTGGCCATGATCTCTCCTTGCAGCGGCGCTTTTGGTACCGTTGGGGAGCTCGCGTAGAATATGCGCGACCCGCTGGCGCCGTGACTCCAGGTGCCCACAGCGTTCGAACACTGGGCAAGATTTGGGCAACATGTCTCAGGGGCTCAGCATCGAGCTGGAGCGCGGCGACGCGTTGGAGAACGGCGGTCGCCTGACGCACTGCGGCCCGCCATCTACCTCTCCGTCGTCTCAAGCGTCAGCCATGCCTGCCTCTCGCGTGGGGATCGACGCTATGCTCGGCGAAGAGCTGGAACTGGACATTGTCGGTGCGTTATCTTTGGGCCTCCTAGATGGGGTCGGAGGGCCGCGCCGCGTCGCCGATGCGTCGGCGATGCGGCTCGATGCGGGGCCCGATTTTCTCCGCGCCGACGTCGCCGATGCGTCGCCGATGCGCTGGCGATGCGGCGCGGCCTTCCGACCCCGTCTACTCGAACCCCAGCAAGGAGGCCCCTATTATCCAGCAGCGGCAACGTCCACCCGATCATATTTGGTACGGTGGCGCACGCGTCGACGACGACATCGCGGAATGCTGCGTAGGCCATGGAGTTGCGAGCCGGCCCACGGGTCCGCGGCACAGGTCCGCAACGGCGGCGCGATGACGGCCGCCGGTGGGATTGTGATGCTCGGGCGTGGAGAGGAGCGGGCGGCCGCGTCATTTGCGCTTTGAAATTCTCACAGGTTGCGCAGATCAACGGCGTCGCGACTAGCGCGCGTCCGTCGACGAGCGCGCCGCGTGCAGCATCTGCCTGCGCAAGTACTATATGAATTATCGGCCTGGTTGTCGTATGGGCGCAGAGTCGAGTTGCCGCGTTAGTCCATCCAACGGCGGGCGCGGTGGCGGGGTAGACGGTCCTATTGGCATGGGGGTGCCGACCATGCCGACTTAACGCGCGATGCATTATTTGATGACCATTGGCTGAAGTTCCACCATGCCAGAGCGCGACCGCTTCGAGGCCCCGACACTGGGCGGGCAGATCCTCCAGCGCGACGCGGATGTCCCGGTTCCGAACTTCTTGCCGCGGCACCCGAGCGGGCCGCTGGGGGGGCCGCGAGACGGGCGAGGGGCGCGCGCGGGCCCCCCTTCCGCCCGCGCCGAGGGGGCGGCGGTCAGGCCCCGATCCGCGGCGAAGACATTCCATCGAGAAGCGACCAGATGAGGGAGATGATGGATCACGCGGCCAGGCCCTGCGCGAGGGGCGGGGTGGTGGGCGAGCGACGCGAGGCTGCTCGCAGCGCGAGAAGGAAAAGCGAGGACTCTCGCGACAAGGAAGGGCGCCAGCGAATCTTTCGCCAGCTGGATGTTCCATCGCCGCAGGGCCAGGCGGCGGCCGAGAAGACGGTCGCGACGATGATCGCCGGGCTTGGGGGGGGAGAACGGATCTGCCAAAGAGAAATTTCAAGCAGAAGGTCGCCCCATCCACAGAGGCGGGCCGGCGCCTCTCCAAATCCATGCCGAAGCCCGGCTCATCTCGGTCTCTTTTGCGCGGGGCGCCGTCCAGAGAGGCCTCTGTTGGAGATGGCGGTGTGAAGACGACAGTCTCTGCGCCGCCCGATTGCGCTTGGGCGCGTTCGACGCGTTCGGAGGTGCTCGAGGAGGAGATCGCCGGGGGCGGCCAGTCGCAGTGCCCTTGATGGAGTGGATCAGGGCCCTGAGGCCAGCCGAGCCACGCCAGCGACTGGGCGACTTTGTGAAACGTGCTTGGGCGCTTCCTACGGGAAGGGCCTCAGGGATCGCGTCGCGATCCTCGGCCTACAAGGTTGGCGCGTCTACTCCAGGGCCGCGGGGGGCCGCGACGGTGCGATCCTATGCCTCGCAGGGCCTGCCTTTGGGGCGCGGCACTTGGGCCCTGAGCATTCCTGCCCCTCCGCCGCCGAGAGCGGGGTCGCGCCCGGAGGCAGGCCCAGGTGCAGCATTATCTTCAGGCCGGGCAACTGTCGCGGCCGGCTGGCCCGCGGGGCCTCCCGTCAATGCGCCAGGGCGCGATCAGCGCGCGCGTCGTCCTCGTTGGACGGGCAGCTGGCGCGCCTGACAGGCCTGGCCCCCAGCGGGGTCGCCTGCGACCGCCAGGTGGCGATGGGGCAAATCCACCCTGGCGCAGGCGGCCTGTAGCGCGGCGACGCAATGCGCCTGGTGCCACGTCGTCGTCGACGCGAGATATCACGAGAGAAGAAGCAGCGGGTGATCTGAAATTGTTTTCGCCTTGAGAACGGGGGTCAGTCTCGACGAAATGATCGATCAACATTTTCGCTTTGGAAACTGCGAGGCCAGGATGCCATGCGACAGACAGGGCGCAATTTCCAAGTGGTTCTCCAAAGTGTGACGTCACGATCCCTACCGCTACGACGAGATGAGCCATCGCTTCGCCCAGGCTGTTGCGTCGTTCGCCAAGCTCGACGGTTGGGTCGAGGTCGACCACGCCATCGAACGCGCAGTGCGCGGCCGACCCAAGCGTCAGGGACAAGGGCGTCCTGCGCCAGGCCCACCTCCTGGCGCAACTCCCAGATGGTGGGCAGGAAAGGCCGTGCGAAGGGCCGCTTGCGGCTTTCTTGGAGCGCTCTTGGGCGCTCTTGGAGCGGTCTTGGGGCCGTTTGCAGCATCTTGGGGGCCACCTTGAGCTAGCCTGGGCTATCTGAACCATCTTGGAGGTCATCTATCGCTCGAGGGCCTCTTGGGGGCCCCTCGGGCGCCTCTTGGGGCCCTCTTGTGACCCTCTTGGATCCTTCTTGGGGCTCTCTTGGGGGCCCTGGAGCGTCTCTTGGGGCGATCTTCGAGGCTATCGATCAAAAGGAGGAATTCACCCGATCGCGGTCGCCCCCTCGGGGGCCACGATCCTCGTGAGAGGTGTCAAAAATTGTCCTTCCCAGGGGCCGATTTTGGACGCTCCAGCTGATCGTGGCCCATCCCGTCCAGGTCCAGGGGAGGGGGTCGGGGGAGGGGTCAAGACACCCTCTCCGCACGCAAGCTGTCTAGCTCATTCCCACCCGCCCTCCAACCACATAAGTGTCATTCTTTTCTCGGCATAGCTAGGGGTCGCCACTGGATGGACAGCCACTGGGAACCAAATCGGACGCCAGGTGCGCGACGTTCGCCGCGGGTTCCACATGCGGTTGGTGTGCCATCCTTGTACAAAAGCGTGGTGCCCCCCCGTCCGCATGGTCCAGATGCTGATGCGGGGGGTGTCAGCATTGTTCTGGGCCTGCGAACAGCAAGCGTCATCATGCGGGCACCACCGCCGTCCATATCAAAAACAATACAGAGTGATCGCGGGCGACCAGCACAATACCCACGATGTTGTCGCAACGTGTACTTTGTATTGTTTTTGGCACGGATGGTGTTCCTGCGCAAAGCGGTTTCACTAAGGGTGCCCCGACATGTTTGTCAACAGACAATACAACGTGCTCACAGGGCGCCAGCGCACTGTCTAGATTTTGCTGCAATGTGCATTCCGTATTGTTTTTGGGCAGGGATAGGGGAAGTTGTTGGCAGGGTGGGTCGCCATATGCATTCCGTATGTTTTTTGACAGGGATGGGGGGGCCCTCATGGTGTGCGCATGGTTCTGGGTTGGCTGCCAGCCGGGTGGGGGAGGGTTTGTTTGTTAATAGGGAGCAGTGATGAGCCCCTCCCCGAATGGAAAGACGGGTTTTTGGAAGAGGAACGGAAGACATCGTTAGACCACTTGCGCCCAGAGGGCAGGTGGGATTCAGAATCATGGATTTCGTCATCATTGGGACATGCTGGGGGTTTTGTTTGAGCCGTCGTGGCCGTTAAATCCTGCGGCCGTTCTGGTAGGTTTCTGGGCCATGCTCGGGTTTGGGAGGCATGTTGGGCCACTTTGGCGGCCTGCCTGCATAGTTTTGGCAAGCATGTCGGGCGTCTTCGACGCTTGGGGGGGTGCCTAGGAGGCGTCGGGGCGCTCTTGGAGCCTCGAGAGGAGGGGGCGGAGCATACAACACTCTGATGCGCGATTGTGTGTGTGTGTGTGTGTGTGTGTGTGTGTGTGTGTGTTTGTGCTCGCTTAGAGGATGACAGCACCCCGATTCGACAACACCTGGCATTCTTCCTCGCCTCAAAATGCCAGGGGGCACTGTGGCGGGGAAAGGATGGAAGTTTCCTCAATGATATATCCCCGAGTTTGGCCCCAAATTGTTTGTCTGGGCGAAATCCCCACCAAGTCGGAAAACGATTGGTGTCGCCATATTCCCCCTCAGTCCTCTCCCTCCTTGGGCCAAAATAGTCGTTCAACGCTGAGAGTGCAGTCTTCAAAATCCAAGATGACCTCGCGTCCTGTCTGTCGCGTTTGATGCAGCTTCCGCGTCTGATGCACGGATTGCTCTCGGAAGAGACTTGTGTATTCCCTGGTGTCTTCTGCAGTCAGTCCCGACTGTGCACCTGTGCAAGGACGGCCGGCTGTGCTGTGCACTGAACAGGTCGACCGCGCCTCAGATCTGTTGCTGTGCGTTGTCTTGCGCGCGGGCGCCAGCTCCTGGCCTCTCGTTGGGCCGCCACGACGACATGGCGCCTGTCGTTTCTCCTCGCATCCACCTTCCCTGGAGGAAGGGCAATCGCCACGACCACCATGGGGGAGGCAGAGGTGGAGTGAAGGGCGTCGGTGGGGTATACCTTCTAGAGCACTTTCGCGGGGCCCCACAGAGCAGCAGACCATGCACCTCCCCGGTGGTGTCCGTGACGATTTTCTTGTGGCGCATGAAAGCTCCCCAAAAGGCCTACACCACCGCCGCCGCCTTCCCCGTCCGTCCTCTCAAGGTGGTGGCTGCTCCCTCAGCCCGATTTGGGCTCTTCTCCGTAGCCGCTTTCTCTCAGGGAATCTTACGTGCACAGATCAGTGCACAGCTGCTGCTCTGGTAGGCCACAGCGGCGATTACACCGCACGATGCCCACCTTCCTCAGCCTGGCGCTGCAGCTGGGGTTCGCGGCCGAGGGCTGCGCAGAGCCCGAAGGCGCTTCTGCCCGAACCCTCGGCGGAGCGCGGGCAGCCGCGAGCGCCGACCCGTCCCAGTGGCTGCCGCAGCTGTGCCTGAGCGAGGGCGTCCCCGCGATGCTGCTCCCGCTGGCGCCGACCTGCGCAACGCTCCGCCGCCTGCTGGCGCGCGGGTGCGCGCCCGCACCGATCGCGAAGCCCCTGGGCGAGGCCTGCAGGTTCCTGGCCGCGGCCGGCCGCCCAGAGCGGCAGATGGAGCTCGCGCTGGCGGTGCACTCTGGCGGCGCGGAGGCGCAGCCCTTCGAGAGCTTCTGCGCGGGGGCCCGAGCGGTCCTGGCCGCCCTGTGCGAGGGCAAGAGCCCGCGCCTCGCGGCTGCGCCCCCTGTTCAGGCGGCCCTGGCGCAGCTGCAGCAGGGCATCGACGACCTCGTGGGCCTGAGCCGCGAGGTCTGGGAGCTCCACGCCTACTTTGTCTTCCTGGACGTCAAGGGCGACTGCGCCCTCCTGGAGACGGTGGCGGCGCAGCTCTGCAGGGCCCTCGGGTGCTCCGCGGAGGGCTTGGTCGCGTGTGCCGAGCGGACGGAGCGCTGGGTGGAGGAGGCCCTCGTGATGCTTGCGGAACAGGGGGGCAGCGAGGCGCTCGAGAAGCGTCACGCGGAGGCGCTGTCGCAGTGGCGATCGGCTTGGGTGGAGCCCATGCGGCAGTCGCCAGAGCTGCAGCGCAGGCTCGCGCTCAGAGACAAGGATGGGGAGCCCGGCGAGTGGTTCTGGGCGAGGCACTTCCAGCAGCTGGGCTCGGTCCCGTGGGCAGACTTTATCATCGGATTCCAAGATTTTTTCCTGCGTGGCCGCTGTCCTGTGGACATTGCCGACCAGCTTCGCGCTGAGCTGGACCCACAGTCCTCACACATAATTCGGTGCTCGGACTGGAAGACCCTCGCAGGAAAGCACGACGCCGTCACCAGCCTGATAGATTCACTCTTGGAGAGGGTGCTGGAGGACGTCGCCAGGCGCATCTACCGCAGTCGACCTCTGGACTGTGGGCTTCTCTTGGGGGCGGCCGCGTTCCATGCCAGAGCAACGCCGGAGGCCAGCCCAGCGGCGGCGCCTCCGTCCGACCTCCCGCGCCGCCCGCCCTGGCGGCCGCTGCCCCCTTGTGCAGGCGATCTTCTGGCGGGGGCCGGCCCGGCGGGGCCCGTCGAGGACGACCGCGCGGGGCTGGCCAACGGCGGCGCGCTCGAGCGCGTGCTGGAGGGTGCGGAGCCCCGCCTGCAGATCTCGAGTGCCATCCCCACGCCCCCGGACCACAGCCGCGGCGGTGGGCCGCCGCAGGAGAGCGGGCACATCGCTTGGGACCGCTTCTGCGCGGAGCTCTGTGGAGAGCGCCCCTGCTGGTGGAACCTCGGCCGCAGGCCGAGCGCCCGGCAGCGGGGCCTGCAGGCCAGGGCACTGGCCACGGTGAGCAGCAGCCTGGCGTGCACGCGCCAGGCGCTCGTGCTGCGGGTGGTGGCCGGCAGCCTCGCGGGCAGCAGGCCGGTGCTGCAGATGCGGGGGGCGCGGGGGGCGGGCCCGGCCGGCGGGGAGGCCCCGGGGGCCGAGGAGGCCTCGCAGCTCCCCGCAGTGGTCATCAGCGCGAACGGCACGCATGTAAGCGGCGTGGCGCAGTTCGGGAGGGACGCGGCGAAGAAGACGGCGCAGAGCCCAGACCTGCCGATGGCCGAGCCGATCGCCTCGCGCTCTCATTTCAGCGTCGTCTACGAGCCCGCCGTGGACCGCTACTTCCTGATGGACGCGGGCTCGAAGTGGGGCACCTTCGTGAAGGTCACCGAACCCCACAGCGTGAGCTGCGGCGATTGGTTCCACGTCGGGAAGGCCGAGTTCGTGGTCCGCCACTGCGGCGGCGGCTGTCCTCGCCACCAGCGTGGCGCCCGCTGCGGGCGAGGGCCGCTGGCCGAGCGCCAGCCCCAGGGCGCGCGCGCGGGCGCACCCGACGCGCACCTCGAGGAGACTGGGGGCGCGGCGCCCGAGGCGGAGCGCGGCGCCCCCTGGGCGCGGCACAGCGCAGGGAGGCCAGGCTGCTCCGCGCCCTGGCACCCAGCGCCCGCGACGGCGTTGCCCGTCCCGCCTCTCGAGATCGACTTCGTCGCCGGGCCGCGGATGGGCGAGAAGCTGGTCCTCACGGACCGGGTGAGCACCCTGGGGCGCAGTGACGCGGCCACGGTCCAGGTCTCCGACGCGGCGCTGGCCAGCGTCTCGAGGGTCCACTGCGTCCTCGAGTACCGCGGCAGCCGCTGGCGCCTGCGCGACAGCGGCTCCACCAACGGCACGTGGCGGCGGCTCTCATGCGTGCTGCAGCCGTCCGTGCCGGTGCCCCTCCGCCCAGGCACGTCGGTGCTGGCCGGGACGCACGAGTTCATCGTCGAGGAGGCGGAGCTGACCCACTGGTGGCTGCCCTCGACCGCGTGCGGCGTGCTCGACGGGATGCAGCAGCACGAGCGGCATGCAGCTGTGCTCGGGTGAGGTCGCGCAGCGCGGCCCCAGAGCTGCACGAGCGGCAGGCCACCCCGCCCAGGTGGGGCCGCAAGCTCCTCTCGCCGATGCGGTCGGAGTCCTTTCCGACGCACTCGTGCGTTGCCGCTGTCCCTCCTCCTTGCTCCCTCCTCGGCCTCCTTCACCAGTGACTCAGTGCAGCCTGAATGTAGATACTCTTGGATCGCTCAGCTTTAGTCAAGAGGCTTACGCAACTGCGCCGACCCCCGAAGGAAGGGGCCGGGAGAAGGAAGGTCATGAGACGGAAGAGAAGGGTGACAAGAGGCGAGGGGTAGCCGAGAAGGCGAGAGAGGGCGGTCGTGGGAATGCGGCAGGAAGAGTGGCAATCGTGAAGCATGCGGGGCCTACGGCGGGGTAGCCCAGTGATTCTGTGGTTTTCGGAGGCTCGGACGGACTGTCGGCGCATATGAAAGGTGTCGAGGTGCATGTTCGAAAGCTCGCGGGGATGGTCCCGCCCACCTTGGGGGCACGTGGTGTGCTATCTGGGAGCCTTTGGAAAGACCTTGCGGCCTGCTTGAGCCTTTTTTGGCTTGTGTTGTGGGATGTCGGGGCCAGTTCGAAGATGCTTAGGGCAGTCTGGGGAGTCCTGGTGCAGTCGAGTGAGATTGAAGTGACAAGCAGTGATTTTATTTCTTGGAGCCATTCTGGAAGCCAGCTTGGGGCCAGCTGGGGATGTCTGGGTGTTGGGGCTACTTTGGGACTATATTTATTGAATCGCTTCGCTCATTCCGCCGGCCCGTGATATGGCATCGCTGGTTTTTGTCTGTGTGTTCGTTGCCCATGTTGCGCTCTTGGGGGCGGGGTGTCGTTCGGACGCGTTGCGTGGGGAGTTTTGATGGTGAAGCAGTTCCCTGGGGGTCGTCTCTCGATGGGGCGAAATAGAGTCGTCGTCAAGATGCTTCTTTGGGGGGCCTCTTGGGGTCTGTTGAGAGGCCGTTCGGGGGCGCCTGGGAGACATGTTTGAAGCCTTCTGGGGCTTCTTTTGGGCCTCCTGGGAGTCTCCTGGGGCCTCTTGGCGACATCTTGGGGCCTCTTGGAGGCCTCTTGGGGCCTCTTTGGGACCTCCTGGGCGCCTTCTGGGACGGAGGGCTCCATTTTTGAGTTCTCGGTATCCCTCCTGAGTCCCTCTTGGGCCCGTCTTGGGCCCGTCTTGGGGCCTCTTGGTCCGTCTTGGGCGGCACTTGGGCCGTCTTGAGGGCTCTCTTGGGTCGTTTCGGCGCCGTCTTGGGAGCTTCGTGGGCCGTCTTGGAGCGGTCTTGGGGGCCTCTTGGGCCGTCTTGGAGCGTCCGGAAGCCGAAAAAGCCAGAACACAAAAAACATCAACAACGATTTTGGCCTCTTGGGGCTCTCTTCGGAGGCCTCTTGGAAGGCTCTTGGGGCGTCTTGGAGGCCTCTTGGGCTGTCTTGGGGGCCTTTTGGGCCGTCTTGGGGTCATCTTCGGCGTCTTCGAGCGCTCTTTGGGCGTCTCGGGGGCCTCTTGGGCAGTCTTGGGGGCCTCTTGGGGCACTCTGAGCGCGCTCTGGGGAGCCTGAGAGGCCGCACCCAGAAGGAAAACCATCTCTGAGTAGACTTGGTCGGGCGTTGGTCGGGGTACTTTTTGCCGGGGGACCCCCAGGGGCCGCCCCGCTCGCGCGAACTAGAAATACTGTTAATACTGTTAACCAGTTACCGGAGATCTTAGCACGCCCTGGCCCGTTGGGCCGGCGAATTCGCTTCGCTCATTCCGCCGGCCCTTACTGTCGCACCTCTGTCGATTTGGGGGTGTATTCCTGAGGGGGTCGCAGTGACTGTGAATTAGGTTTCGGGGGTTCGTCGCAGATTCTGGCGGGGTTGTCCTGGGGCAATCGTGGGTGATCATGGGTCTGGTCGGTGATTTGCTTGTGTCGGTGAGGGGTTGATTATTCTGGATGGTCGCTGTGCGGCCATGTCGCAGATCGGAGGTATTCGTCGCAAGTTTGAGCCTTTCCGTGTTGGAGGGTGGCGGCTTGTGACTGCGACCGCAGGAGGAGGAGGAGGAGGAGGAGGAGGAGGAGGAGGAGGAGGAGGAGGAGGAGGAGGAGGAGGAGGAGGAGGAGGAGGAGGGAGGATGAGGAGGAAGAGGAGGAGGGGGGAGGAGGAGGAGGAAGAGGAGGATGTGGAGCAGGAGGAGATAAAGCCTCTTGGGCCGTCTTGGCGGTCTATGGGGCCGTCTTGAGGCCATCTTGGGCGGCCCGGGGCGGGAGCGGGCGGGTCCTGCAGGGAGAGGGGCGCCTGGCAGGGCCCATTTCGATCCGATTGAAGGTTCTAGGTGTTCGAGGCTCTCTAGGAGGACCTCTTGAGGCTCTCGTGGGCCTTCTTGGCGGCGTCATGGGCCGTCTGGGGGCCATCTTGGGCGTTTTGGGACGATTTTGCGGGTCGGCAAGCTAGGAAGTTCAATTCGAGCTCCCCCGATGGGGCCCCTCGTAGGTCTGTCTTGGGCTGTCCAGGGGGCCTCGTGGGCCGTCTTGGGGCCCTCTTGGGCCGTATTGGGCCCATGTTGGGAGTTGTTGTGCCGTCTTGGGGCGATTTTGAAGGTCTCTTGAGAGGTGATGGACGCGCTAGACTTCGAAACGTTGTATATGGGCCACATGTACGGTTTCTGAAAGGAATGGGTGTCTTTCTGCTTGATGAGGCCCTCTAGGAGAGCCTCTTGAGGCTCCCGTGGGGCTTCTTGGCGGCGTCTTGGGCCGTCTGGAGGCCATCTTGGGCGTTTGGGGGCGATCTTGTGGGTCGGCGAGCTGCACAGTTCAATTCGTGTTCCTCCCATGGGGCTCCTCTTAGGGCTGTTTTGAGCTGTCCAGAGGGCCTCCTGGGCCGTCTTGGGGCCCTCTTGGGCCATATTCGGCCCATGTTGGGAGTCTGTTGGGCCGTCTTGGGGCGATATTGAAGGTCTCTTGGACAGTGTTGGACGCGCTGGACCTCGACACGTCGTATATGGGCAACATGTACTTTTCCTGAAGGGAATGGGTCACTTTTTGCTTGATGAGGCTGTCTAGGAGAGCCTCTTGAGGCTCTCTTGGGGCTTCTTGGCGGCGTCTTGGGCCGTCTGGAGGCCATCTTGGGCGTTTTGGGACGATCTTGCGGGTCGGCAGGCTGGAAAGTTCAATTCTTTACGCTTCGCGTATCCACACCAGCCCATCTCACAACAGCAACTCTTGCGAAGCATGCCGACAGTCGTGTTTTTCAGGCGTGTGTCCGCTTGGCCCCGCATATATCCCCTGTTCCTCCTTCCTCCCGCCTCCTTGTACATCCTCCTTGTGGTGGGAGCGGGAGAAGGACGAGGCGGAGGAGGAGGGAGAGAAAGCGCTCCTCGTGGGTTGAGTCGTTTGGGGTTTCTCGTCCTGGTGTGAGTCGTTCGGGCCCTTCTTCCTGGTGTGAGTCGTTCGGGCTCTTCGTGGTGTGAGTCGTTCGGGCTCTTCGTCCTGGTGTGAGTCGTTCGGGCTTCTCGTGGTGTGAGTTGTTCGGGCCCCTCGTCCTGGTGTGAGTCGTTCGGGCCCCTCCTCCTGGTGTGACTCGTTCGGGCTCCTCGTGGTGTGAGTCGTTCGGGGCCCTCGTCGTGGTGTGAGTCGTTCGGGCTCCTCGTGGTGTGAGTCGTTCGGGCGCCTCGTCCTGGTGTGAGTCGTTCGGGCCCCTCCTTCTGGTGTGAGTCGTTCGGGCTCTTCGTGGTGTGAGTCGTTCGGGCCCCTCGTCCTGGTGTGAGTCGTTCGGGCTCCTCGTGGCGTGAGGCGTTCGGGCACCTCGTCCCCTTTTGGGGCGTCTTGGGGGCCTCTTGGCGGCCCCAGGGGCTTCTAGGAGCGTCTTGGGTGCCTTGGGGGAGCCTCTTCGGGCCTCTTGGGAGCCTCTTGGAGGCCGTTTGGGGCGTCTTGGGGGCCTCTTGGCGGCCCCAGGGGCTTCCAGGAGCGTCTTGGGTGTCTCGGGGGAGCCTCTTGGGGCCTCTTGGGGGCCTCTTGGGGGCATCTTGGGGGCCTCTTGGATGCCTCTTGGGGGCCTCCTGGGGACCTCTTGGGGCCATCTTGGGGCCTCTTGGTGCCTCCTGGGCGCTTCTTGGGGCCATCTTGGAGGGAATCGATCCAAGAATAGGGGGGCTTTAATGAGCGCTGCCCCCTCAGAAGGGCAACATGAGGCCAAAACCTTCGTAAAATCAATGATTTTGCCTTGAAGGAAGAGGGGAGCTTTAATGAGCGCTGCCCCCTCAGAAGGCCAAAATGGGGCCAAAACCGTAGTAAAATCAATGATTTTGGCTTCGAAGAAGAGGAGAGGTTTTTTTCTTCCTCCCCCCGTCGGGGCCAGAATCCTCGTGAGGGGTGTCGTTTTTTAGCCCTCCCAGGAGTCGAAAAGGACTCTCCTGACCACCCGCGGTGGGACCTCTCCAGGCCCAGGGGGAGGGGGTAGGGGGAGGGGTAAACCCCTCCCCGAAGGGGAAGAAGGGGGGTTGAGAACAGAGCGGGCTCTCTAAACCACTCACGCCCAAAGGGCTGGTGGGATTCGAGCTCCCCCGATGGGGCCCCTCGTAGGGCTGTCTAGGGCTGTCCATGGGGCCTCTTGGGCCGTCTTGGGGCCCTCTTGGGCCGTATTGGGCCCATGTTGGGAGTCTGGTGGGCCGTCTTGGGGCGATATTGAAGGTCTCTTGGGGAGTGTTGGACGCGCTGGACCTCGACACGTCGTATATGGGCAACATGTACGTTTTCGGAAGGGAATGGGTCACTTTTTGCTTGATGAGGCCCTCTAGGAGAGCCTCTTGAGGCTCTCTTGGGGCTTCTTGGCGGCGTCTTGTGCCGTCTGGCGGCGACCGAGCGCCCCTCGAACCGTCTCGACCACGTCACGGGGCTCGCTTGGAGCGTTCCTGGGGCGCTCGGGAAAGCCTGGAAGGCAGCGCCGAGGAGGAAAGCCATTTCTGGGCCTCACCTTGCCGGGACCTGGCTGGGCACTTTTCGTTCGGGGGCCCCCAATGGCCGCCCCAAGCGGGCGAACTAGAAAGTTGTAAGCCAGTTACCAGAGTTCTTAGCACGCCTCTGGTGCGTTGGGCCTTCGAATTGGGGGCTATCTTAGGTAATTACTTGTTGAGCCGTCCAAGGGCTTGTGAGCCTCATGGATTTCGAATTTTTGGCAAGCCTCAGGAGCGTTTTGTTTTTTTCTGGATATCTTAAAGTAACCCGGGTGGCCATCTGGGGGGTTCTGGGGCTCTCTTGGCACCATTTTGAGGCTATCTTGAAGGCGTCTTCAGCACTCTTTAGAGCTTCTCGGATACATCTTGTACCCTTTCGGGAGCCCAGAAGCGCATCATGGGGTCATCCGTCTCCATTCGAAGGTGAGGACGATACCACATTACGCAAAAACGAACGGACTGTGTGTGTGTGTGTATGCGTGCGTGCGTGCGTGCGCGCGTGCGTGCGTTTGTGTGCGGTGAACGGGCTCTTGCCTTCTGTGCCAAATGGTAACGGCTCTTAACGTTCTCTTCAGTTCCGGACTTCACCTTTCGCAACGGCCAGCTCTGCCCTTTTTGAGCACCTGTGTGCGCTCCATGTTCCCATCCTGGGGCCCGCAGGGTTTCGGCCACCGCACTCCCTCCCGCCAGGGACGTCGCGGCCTCCTCGGTCCCTGCCCAGCTAGGCCCTTCCCCTGCGGCACGTGTGCTGCCGCTGCGGCCACCCCAGCCTTTCTGGTCCTGGACCGCTCCGCCGCTCCGCCTTCTGTCGGCTCTGCCCTTCCTCTCCCTTTCCCGCCGCCTCTCACTGTCTGGTTCCCCCCCGTCCTCCTGGGCGGGCCGGCCCGGGCCGCCCCCTCAGGGACCGCCCCTCCTCCGCCGCCGTTTCCGGCACGTCGAGTTTCAAGGATCCTTAGGCTTGCGACCTTTGCGGCTTTGCCGCCTGCAATTCGCTCTCCGTCGTCGCTCCTTGGCGCTTTCTTTTGTAGGTCCACATTCGGTTACTCGCTCTCCTTGCCTTCCAGTCGCTGCCGGCTGCGATACCCTACGCGGTCTCTGAGAGTTCGGCTGGGCGTAGACGCGCACTTATTGCTGGTTGCACTCGACTTTCGACGCCCCGTCGATGCGCGCGGGGCCGCGACGCCAATCTTTATTTATTTATTTACTTATGTATGTATGTATTTATTTATTTATTTGTTTATATATATATATATATGTGTGTAGGAAAATATGCTTATACATATATGTATATGTGTATATATATATATCTATGTGTGTGTGTGTGCGTGTGTGCGTGTGCGCGCGTGTGTGTGTGTGCTGGCATGTTCATCCTCCGCCCTGGAAAGGCAGTTCAGGTTGATCTGCTCCACGGGCTCCCGCTCTCCCAAGCAAGAGCGCAGGCGTTCGCTGACATGCAGTGGAACGCTACGTGGTTCTGTGACGATTGCCTTGTTCACCCGTGGAAAGCCCGTCCGAGCCGGGTCAAGGCCATCCTCGCGTCGGATGGGCGCGCCCTATTCCCAAAAGCTCGTGTCCAAAAGGGACAAGACATCGCCCCTCCCCGCGACGGTGGACACCCCGCAGGTGCACCCACAGGACAGTCACTCTACAGCGAGCTGAGGGACGTAAGGAGTGGAAACGAGCGTGCGCCCGCGGCCGCGTCGCCTCAAGCGGCCGGCCGCCCAAATATGACTGTGCGTCACCGCGAGGCGCGCAATCGCTATCGAGACCAAAAGGATCTTCCTATTGCTTGAGATGGCATCTCCTTTCGTACTGGGACTACCGTTACTACGGTACAACAGAGCGGGAGCTTGGCTTCGCCTGAGGCGAAGCTGTTGGTTGGGCATTCCAGCCCCGTTCAAACTTGGTAGCGGAGCTGGCCTATGGTGGCCACCTCTTGCTCTACTCCTCACCATCCACGGCACTATCTGGTGGACTACGGATATGGTGGAACATCAGGGTGCAGTGGGATTGCGCGGAGGAGTGTATATAACTACGCAGTATCGCAAGGAAACTTGCAGCGATATCTCTGTTCAAGCGGAGGTATCTTATTCACATCTTACATCCCTGCGCTATTACTCACCCGAGGTCCACCCACTTAGTCCTATTGGGAATTTCTTCGAAGACATAATGCATGGATACGCGCGGTACACTATACTGCCGCCTCCGACCCCGCGCAGACTCACGACGACAAAACAGAAGTCCCCACCGACTACATCCGACTACGACCTACGAGGCCATTGGATTGGGGTTATTATCTTTGGGCTCATATGGGTCGCTACTGGGTGTGCGGTAAGACATATGCTGGGCGGAGACGACATTAGAACGACTGGCCCCCAGTGGGACCCTGCCGGCCAAGTACCATTTCGCGAGTTCGTCCGCGAAGTACACGCTTGGATCAATGTGACCACAGGCAACATGACGCCCTCCCAGCAAGCCGCCGCATTGCAGCGAGGTTTGGGAGGTTTCGCACGGACCATAGCCACGAGAGTCCCCAGCTGTCATTAATTTTGGCGTCAACATAGGCGGTCGCCACACTGACGGCGTCACCTACACTATGTTCCTCTTAAGTACGAAGTTCGAGAACCTAGAAGAGGAACGCCAACTCAACTCTGGCACGGCTCTCATTGACTTTCGAGTCCATGCGGGTGAATGTATCGACCAGACGTTATCACAGTTCGAAATAACCCGCTACGAAGCTGAAGCTGCTGGCTTCAACATCCCCAACTTCCGAATCGTAGCAGTAATTCTTCTCAGAGCTCTTGGAGTGGGGACATCGCGTGCACAACAACTCCTGCAGCCTCTGAACCACCACATGCCGAGGGACCAACCACACTTTGACGCTCTACTTGAACGTATGAGATCATCTGCTCACATAGCTGAGAGGACCCCTGGCAATATTGGTGGTATCTTTAGCCACGGTCACCGAAACGAGACTTTCCACGCAGAGGCCAACGCAGGGCAACCTGCCAACAACGTGTGGAACGACGATACACCGCCAACTGAGACCACTACAGTGTTGGCTCAGAATGGTGGAGCGGCTTCGGGGCCGCAAGGCCCCTGGGCCAGATCTGGGGGACCGCCCGACGCGGCTTCCCTTATGCAAGCTATGACCCTTGGGCGGCCTCATGGGGGCCTTTCTGGGTCTCCTGGGGGTTTCGGTGTCGAGAGCTCGAAATGCCCGTTCGGGTCCCCCGTCGGGCCCCCCTCTTGGAACCATTTTTAAACGTTTTTTGGCCATCTGGGGCCCCTGTTCGGCAGTTTCAGAGCGTTTTTGAGCCGTTTCGGGGCCCTCGTGGAGGTTTTGGGTGAGCTTGGTGGCGCCCTGGGCCTGTTTGGAGCGTCGGGAGGCCGAAAAGGCGACGCCGCCCAAATCCGACGAACATTTACGACACATCAGTGAGTGTTGCCTCTTAGGGCCCGTTGGGCACTACTTTCGGAGGCCTCTTGGGGCGTCTCGGAGGCGTCTTGGGCCATTTGGGTGGCATCACAATCAGTCTGGAATCCTTTGGGGCCGTGCCGGGGCACTCGTGGACCCCCTGGGGCGTTTCTGCAAATGTTTTTTTTTTTTTGATTCCAGGTCATCTTGAACGGCGCCACCGTCCTGGAGGCCCACGCGAGACGCCCAAGCACGTAACGCCCAGAACCATGTCCGGGCCTGTGTAAGAATCTAGAATCTCTGCAGAAACAGCACAGCATTGTGGCTTGGGGCAATCCGCATCGTGCCAACGCCACGGTGGCGGATCATCAACGGGATCATCACCACTGTCGTCATCGTCTGCATCGTCGATGTCGTCGCCGTTGTCGACGTCATCATGATCTCGCGCCCGCTTGGGTCACCCACCCGTGCTGCACCAGCCCCGCGCCAGCGCGGCCTTTGTGACGCGTTGGGAAGTTCCCGTCGGTAAGTGCCATCGCGGCCGCATCACATGTGACAAACCAGCTGGCCGATCTGCGCGTCAGCGGGCGCGCTCCACTACGGCGACACGGCAGCAAATTCCAATTGGCAGCCCCAGTCGTAACCGCATGGGTTTTGCAAAACAAGTTGCGGGTGGAGGGGTGGGATGTTTGTGCGAACATGGGAGTTGTCGACGGCAATTTGCCCCGCGCACCTTGGACCACATAGTATGCACCGCATAGTGTTTAGTAGCACGTAGCGATCACCGCGTAACTTATACCACGTTGCTTACACCGCGTAGCTTGCACCGCATATGTTATACCACTCGCGTCGATTGCACTACTGTCGCGGACTTTTTCCAGAGCTTTGGAGCTCCCCCCCGCCTTCGGGGAGAGCGTGGGCCCTCCACGGTCGGCCATCTCTCTTTATTTTATCAAAAGCGTTAGGGGAATATTTGGACACGCTTGGGAACCCAATTGGTTAGACGGCTATTGGGCCGTCTGGACGTGATCTTGGTTTCATTGTGGCCGTTTTGGAAATTCGCTTGGAACTTTTGGTGCCATTTTGGAGACCTGCTGGGGGCTACATGTAATGTTATTCGGGTCCTCTTGTGTGCCGCATGGGTTCTCTGGAGAGCCACAGGAGCGTCTTGAAGTTTTACTCAGGTTGGCTTGGAGTTTTTCTGGAAGCCAGCTCGGATTCCCTTGAGACCATACCAGGGGTATCTTGAAGCCCCTCAGACATCTCATCGTTTTTTGGAGTCATCTTGGGCCCTCTCGAAGGTCTGGAAGCGCATCGTGAAGCTATCTTCAGGTCACACATGAAGACGACCTCATATTTTCAATAACCGAACGGACTTTGACGATTCCCGTTTTGAGGCGGCTCTTCATGGGGCAGTCTTGCAACGATTTAGATTCAGAGACCTGACGAAGGCCATCCAGGAGGCCATCGTGGTCCTTGCTTGACAGTCTGGCGCATCCAGAACTATGTCCAGGGCCTAGCGAGCACTCTGGGAACCCGTTGGAAGGCTCCAGAGGGCCTTGATGATTTCCCTGTCCGCACCTTCTCAAACGGCATTCTCGTTTTCATGCGGAAGGGAACACGCTTTCTCATCTCCGACTGGGTCGGCGGACCATTTTTTTGATTCGTGGTGGAGCCACGAGCCTCCGCGTGCTTCTCGAGTTGAATGTCGACAGCCAGATTGGCGCCTCTGCAAGGCAACATTGTAATGTACTCTGCCGCTCTTGGCTATCGTGGTGTAGTCGCGGTCTGTGATCAGCGTGCTCCGTTTGCAGCCCCTCTCCGAACACCTGGCAACCCCTTGCGCTGTCAGCTGCTTTTGCTGGATTACATGTTTTCAGCACATGCTCCCTGCATCGGCTGACATCTGTGACCATCCTGTGGGGGCAGCATGCACGGCTTTTCTGCGGCGTTCGATTTTGCGTTGTATCAGCCCCTGCAACCGTTGCATACTTGTGAGTGTTCGACCCGCGCTAGTATATTGCACTTAATGGAGTAGCGCGACGATGAGAAGGAACGAGGATGACAATGTAGTTCGCTCCTTGTGAGGATGCGGCTGGAGCTCATGGTTTTGCCCTGCCATGCTCCTCTAGGCCGCGGGCCTGGTTTTTGTCGACACTTGTTGGTGTCTCTTACGGTCTGATTATCCCTCTCCTCCATTTATCCACTCTTCTTTTTCCTCTCATCTCTTCCTGTCCCTCGACTCCTCCTGTTTCATCTCTTTGATGCACTTGAACGTGCTCTAAGGTGGAAGACCTGCAACGATCTTGCTTGACAGTGCGATGTTCCGTTGTCGGGTGTCCTGATCATTTGTTTGATGGGTTTTCGATTGGTCATCGTCTGGCTTCTCGCGAGTGCAAAATCATGGGGCGACACCGTACACTATCTATGTACATCGATTGTGTGTGGTGTCCTCGCAGAGTCGTCCGTGCGATCGACTGATGCCTCTCAGACTTAGGGGAGCCTCTTCCTCTCTATTCACGAAGTCACCAGGCCTCTGCGAGCGTGGCCATCATGGTCTTTACTCCGCGTCGCTGGAAGTGAGTTCTCATCCCAGCTTGGCGGCAGCAACCCCATGCTCTTACCAGGGCTTCAATGCATTCTGCAAGAGATGTTGGTTTAGCCATTGCGCCGTGTTCAGTCGCAGTCGTTGCGGTTGGTTTGCAGCCGACAAGGGTGCAGCAGAGACTTATTCCGAACGCAAGGGTGCAGCAGGGTTTGCAGCCGTCCGAAAGTATTTCGCCGTAGGTTTCGCGCAGGAGGCGGTCGAGTACGAATACGCTTGCGACGAATCACCGCCGCCCCTTGCCTTTTCGTTTACGCCAATGTGGCCAAACGCTAGAGAAGTATTTGGCCACGCTATTGGACCATGCGTTCCCCCAGCCGTTGTGGAAGCCCTTCCAGAACGTGAGGGAGGAAGAGAGGAAGCTGAGGAGAGGGGGGGGGGAAAAGGAGGGTGAGGAAATGGATCTCGGGAGCGTATCGGGCCATTCTTGGGGCCTCTTGGGAGTCTCTTGGGGCCTTGTTGGTGTGATATATAAGGTTCTCGCTGGTAATGCTTTTGCTGTCACCGCTGGTGATTGCGTAACTCAGATGACCAAGGGCCCTGCGAACCAAACTATTATGGATAGCATGGTACGAAGCAAGCAACCGCAAGAGCATACTAGGACACGCGGAAGCTGGCGGAAGGAGCGAGGGAAGTGCTAGGACTCACACTCCTCCTTCTCGATTCCTGTAGGCGCTCGCGGCTGCCGGGAAGGCGTCGATCACTTAGATTTACGCTCGCTACATTACGCACATGTCTTTGTTAATCCGCAAACGGCTGTTACGGCATGCAATCAAGAAGCCTCGGGCTATTACTGGATGAGCTGCACACGCCTGCAATCGAATACAGTATTGCGATAAGCTGGCGGGCTCAATCTCGCGATAAGCTCGGCAAAGCTTCACAGCTGTCAACACGCAAGGATAGCGGGTGATCGTCATCACCTCTGAAGATATGGAGTGCACGCACAAACAAACACGATGGCTGCAGCTGGCGGTCAGCAACGCTGTAGTTGCCTATGCGGAGTTAGTGTAAATATTTGGCCAGGTGGGATCACTCACTTGCGGACTAACGTAAACCTGTTGCACATAACAACTCCAGGCGGGTGTGATTAACTCACTTGCGCTTACGGCTTGGCTTGTCTGACGAAGTCGGCTTCGCATCAACACCAGCGTCGGGCTGGCCATCTATGATCGTCCATCGGTCCTCGGCGTCCCGCCGCAGGGTGTAGTGCAGGTCTGAGAAATCGGCCCCTCCGTGCTTTTTGAGCCAGGCACAATGCTTCTGACACGTACGGCAGGTCACATACACGCTGTGCGGGTTGTGGCCAACTCGTAGAGGCTGGCCGTTGATGGCGCCCTCGTTGATTTCTTCGGTCGCACTATCGGAGTAGAGCCATTCCAGGCCACAACACTACTCGTTATGGGGGTCGATGGCGCAGCCGATGCTTGCGTTGGTGGCGCCGCCCAGCCATCACCTGCGATACCGCTCGAAGCTGATGCAGTAGACGCAGCGGCCGCCGCGCTCTGCTCATGTGGCGTCTGCCTTGGTGTTGGTCGCGTAGGCCTCGCTGCCGATGACGCCGTCGATGATGCCTCCAGGTGATTTGCCCTTTCCAAGATGCCGTCCATCCCATCCTGGATGATACCCTTGGCGCCTAGAGTCCTGACAGGCTTCGGGTCTTTTTTCTCTTCTGTCGTGACGTTCGGCGGGTAGCCGTGGGTGTGTAGAATGTGGATGATCGCGGCAAGCACGCCAATGCCGATGAAGATGCCAACCATGAGCATCGTCAACAACCCCTGGAAATACTACCGATATCCCGCGCCGTCGGGAGGCGACATAGGCGTAGGTTGGCCCTTGACGCGATTGATGCACGTCACCAGTACTGACGCGAGCATGGCGGCATGTGGCTGCCAGGTCCCGTAGTTGTGCTTGCGGGCCCCAAAGAAGGATAGCAGCACCCCAGCATCCATTGCGTTTGTGAGGGCGTCCGCGACCATGGCCTAGGTCGGGATCCACGTGAGGTGAAGGGCGCTGTTCGGGTGTACGGTCTCCTTGATCATGGAGGCGACGATCCTAAACCGCTTGTCCGAGGATTGGCCCACGTCCGACTTGATGTGCGCCACGAGACCGTTGCTATCGCTTTAGATCTCGCCGGGAAGCTTGCCGCTGAGCACGCCCACGTCCTTCAGCGGCTTCTGGGGGTTGTAGGCCTCGGTGAGCAGCTGGCGGAACCACGTGTTGATCTCCTCCCCTTCGAGCGTCGCGTAGCCCGCGGCGGTTAGGGTCGACTTCGCCGACCTCTTGACTGTGCCCAACTACCAGGCCGCGGGCAAACAGAGGTCGTAGCGGCCACCCAAAAAGTCGCGTGGTCGGTGGGTAAGGCCCACCGCCATGCCCCGCTGGCTCTTGACGCCGTCCACGTTAGCGAAAGCAGCGTCGCTGAAACAGACAGTCGTGCAGGTCTTCAGGTCCACCATCTTGCGCTTGATCACGATGGCAAAGCTGGCCGTCGAGTGCACGTAGGCGACTGTCTTGTCGAGCGTCTTGGCGTCGGCCACGGTGGCGACGCTGGTGCGGCGAGCGGCCAAGCGCACCGGGCTGGCGATGCCCATTCGAGTCTGAATTGCAAGCCAGAGCAGCTGCCCGAGCGTATGTCCGTAGCTCGACGACCCCAGCCGGTGTGTGGCGTTCCTCGCGTGGCCGCTCTTTCGAGTCGATCTCGACGTCGTCCACCTGCGTGGCCGCCGTCGTCTGAGTCACCCTGTACTCGTCCGCAGTCTTGTCGATCGCGCGGCCGCAGTATTTGATGATGCCTTCGACCTTCTTGAGGTGGAGCTTCTTTTCCAGAGATGCGATCGTGGCCTTCCAAGAGCTCGAGCCACCACGCTAGGCAATCAGGAAGCCATTCACGTGCGAGTGAATCGCGGCAGCGAGCCTCTACTCGTCGTAGTAGCAGTAGAGGCCCTTCTCGAGCTTGCTTTCCATAAAGCCGTGCTCACGGAACACCTTCTGGGCGTAGAGGTACCGTTGACGTCCTGCATCTCGTGTGCCATATACGGCACTTGTGGCCGTCGCGATTTCGCCAGGCTGCATTCCGGCGCGGGGTTATTGGCCGGCATCCGCAGGAGCAGTGCCCTCTCGATGTTGCCCGACTGGAGACAGGCCGTCATTCCGTCGTAGGAGGTCAGGTCCCATCCAGCGTGGGCAGCAGCTGTCAGTACGAGGAACAGGGCGTCGCGGGAACCTGTCGGCGCATTGGTCCTGATCCGCGACTTGTCCTCCTGGCATCCTTGGACAGCGAGCCTTGCCTTCATGGGGCTCTGGCCCTTGCTCGTGGGCACCCGGCGCGCGCCCGCGCGGTGGACGCCGGGGCGGCGCCGCAGGGGCGCGCGCAGCTCTTTGACGGGCAGCTTCTCGTGGGCGCCGAACTCGGTCCTCTTGGACCATTCCAGCTTCATGGCTGTGTCCATGAGCTTCTTCTCCGCGTGGTATAGGTCGTCGTGGCGAAGCTCCTTGGCCGTGGCCATTCCCGGTCAACAGTATCTCGCGAAGCTGCACTTGACCTTCCAACTCGTCTTCGCGGCTCCCGATGTAGCTGTCGAGGTGCAGGTCGACGCACTTGGCGCCCTTCGGGCGTTTGAGCCCGAATGGCAGGTCGTCGAGTAGTGCCTGCCGCTTAGCAGATTTGAAAAGCCTGTCGTCAAGACGACCCCGCTGCAGGGCGCCCGGCGCGGCTTCGGGGCGCTTCTGCCTCTGGGCCTGGGCCCCGTCGGTGCTCATCTGTTTCTTGGGGTCGTCTTGCAGCGGCTTCTCGGCGGTACTCTGCAGCGTCGATCTGCCCCGCGATCCTCGCCCACCCCCGGAACATCTCGGAGGCGGGGGCCGCCTCGGGCTCGGCAGGCCCGTCTCCTGCTGGCTGCTGGGGCTGATCAGGCTCGGCAGGCTCGCCTCCAGCTGGTTGCTGGGGCTGCTCCGGATCGGGTTGAGCTGGATCGCCTTCGAGTTGCTGAGCTGGCGACGGTGCTGGTGCTTCAGCTGGTTGCGCGGCAGGCCGCCTGATTCGCGCTCGCGCGGGGCGGGTGCCGCGGGCGCTGCGCTGGGGGCGCCGGCGACGGCGCAGGTAGCGCTAGCGCATGGTCTCCTCCCGATGGTCCCGGTGCCAACCCGCTGTTGGCAGCTCCCCCACTCGTCGCGCATTGTTCGTCTCCTCGACGGCGCCGGCGTCATTCGGCGAAGTTGTGGGCCTTTCTGTTTTGCGGCGCGTCGTCGATGTTGCCGAAGTTGTGCGCGACGATGGCAGGGGGCGTCATCTAGACGCGGTCGCTTTGCTCCTGCGTCCATGAGGTCCATGAAGGTATCGTCCTGGGGCGTGCTGGGAGCCCTCGTCTGGTGGGTCGCTGGGCGGCGATCCGCTTGGGGGCGACGTCGACTGGCCTGGCGCGCGCGCGCGCCTCCGGGGCTGAGTGCGGACAGCACCTGGCTTCAAGGCGCGAGCTCCGCGGCCGTTGCGCGGCGCGGGTGTCCACGATTCACCCTCGCCGTTGTAGATGAATGGCTTGCCCAGAGATCCGCAGCCCCATCGAAGCCCATGATGACTCCGAGGCCAGGCAATTGTAGGTCCCATTCTCGCTTCGGCTTGCCGTTCCCCCTCCAGCGGTGCACGCGGTCGCCCGTCTGGCAGGCGCCCGATGCGCGCCGGGCGCCATTTGCCCTTACTCGGGCAAGGAGTGCACGAGAGAGGGGCCGGTTGAACCTCGGGGGCTGGATCGAGCCCTGGGCGGCCTTCTCGGCCGCAATTCTTTTGGGGAGCGGCTTGTTGGACACGACGTTGATGCGGGGAGAGGCGACCGGTTTTATCTTGCAAACAGTAGGGTAGCCGCAGTCTGCGTCTGAGGGCCTCTTGCGCCGGCGAGTAGCCGCCGGCGTTATTCGGCTGTTCATGGTTCATCACGCCGACGCTAGCAACCATTGGATCTTATAGGCAGTGGCAGGCTGGTCGAACCTGATGCTAA